AGATCGGCCTGTTTTTCAGCGTAGTCCTGTTTCTCTGACTGTGACTGGCTGGATGTGCCTTCCTCATCCTCTGACATGGGGGTTGGCTCGGAGCTCATCTGCCTGGTTGTGTGTTTCCTTTTACAGCTGCTTTTTGTATATCTGCTTCTGTCTCCTTAAACCCTAGTCGACCTTGGCAGATGGCCGCTCACACTGAGCCTGGTTCTGCTGGAGGTTTCTTCCTGTTAAAAGGGGGCTTTTCCTCTCAACTGTCGCTACAAGCATGCTTGGTGTGAGGGATTGGTTTTCCTAAGATAGAAAACTTTGAATCAATTTCACTGTACGATCTGGTAAACTGTAAAGTGCCTTGAAATGACATGTGTTGTGAATTGGCACTGTATGTAAATAAACTGAATTGAATTGAATGATGGACATATTGTTACCCCCCAAAATACTTGCAAGAATCATATAATCAAGTTTTTGAGTTTTTGCACACAAGCCACAAAGTGTAATTAGCATCCTTGCAAACAACGGGCAGCTTGTTATGGATGGAAGCTGGAGAAGAAGAGAGAGCGAGGAGAGCGCCACAGAGTGAGGCTCTTACTTTGAGAGGATTTTGCTAAACAAGATTTGCTGTTAAGTAGCTTTACTGGGTGGGCCCCTTACCAAAGAGCGAAGCATACAAATCTGCAAAAGTAGAATTGGAGAGAGAGCATCAGCTGTGGTCCCAGTACAAGCTTTGGTCCAAAGAAGCCGATAATGGTGATAGAATTAAAAACAATCTGAGATAAAACAACCATCAGAAAACTCTATTTTTGCTTTAAATATAGCTTTCATGTAAACCTAATTATTTTGAAATCAAAAGGTAGTTCAATTTTATCAAATAAACGATACTAAAAAAAAAACAAGAAATAAAGGATCTCAGATTAAGGGGTAGATTGACTTTTTGTGAGCGGTAAAGCTTTATAAAACTGGCATCTCTGCGAGTGTCACATTATGTTAGCTGGAACCTGGAGACTCTGCAATTTCTTTTACATTTTTAATAATAGCCAAAACAGTCCAAAAGGAAATACAAATAAATAATAAATAGACACAGACAGACCTGTTCATAACCAGGAACCAGGAGAGAGTTAAATAAAGAGCAAAAAACTCTAACAACTAGAGTCTAACAAGTCAAGCAGTCTAAAAACTTCTTTTGATATTTCTGTTTACTCAAAAAGAAAATCTCCTCTGTAACGTTCGGTGTTCTCGTGCTTAAAGTTGTAGGAAAACGGCTGTTCAACCGTTGCATTTCCGAATTCTCCCGAGTGGTGCACGACTTTACACGAGTGAATAAAATGAATGTGATTGGTCGTTTATCAAGAGGGTGGGATTTTTGTGGTTCGGAAGCAAGTTCGGTTGTGGCCGGTGTGTCAGAAGCATCTTGCTAACCAGTTAGCAACTTCGGGCTAGTAGGTTCC